CCCATGACGACACAGTAGAGACAGAAGTGTGAAACACGAGAAACAAAAAAGAGAGTTTTCCCCCAGGCGACTTGGAGAGTTGGGGTCGATTGGCGAGGAGAAGGGGATGGAGTGGGTTGTGGAATGGTTATTGCAGAATCATCGGGCCACTTTGTGATGCGCCTCCGATAATAGTTGACGAACTTGCTTTTGTCAGCGGCGGACAAAGAAAATCAGAAGCTGGAGCTGAAAGGCCGGAGCTAACCTTGAGCCTTGCAACGGGTAAACGCTGATTGGCTGCCGGTTCGAGGTTCGATTTTCATGTGAATAATTACCGAATTCATAATGGAACTGGGGCGGGCTAGAATAATTCTAGAGGGTTTCCGTCATAACTTTACTCTGAGCTCATCACTCCATCTCGCTTGTTCTATTTTTGTTATATCGCCCACTGATGAATGGACTTGATTTTACTGCATTTCATGCCGATTTATTGAAGCATGAAGCAATACAGTACGGCAATAATACGGCTCAAAGCCTTCGGCTGTTGCTTCTCGTGGCGTCAACGTTGGCTAGTTGGTCATGCCACAAGCAGCTCTCCATATCCGTAGACAGCTCAGTGATCGACGGAGAAAAGCTGGCACCCGTGTATTTTACAGGGGATAGGGTATTTGGAACAGGTCGAGATGAATAGCGAGGAGCAAGGGGCATTCCATGATCTGTGATTTCAGTTGGCATAAAATGTAATAAGCGGTGGATGTTTATTTATTTAATGATCCATTGAATGGAGAAAGGGGAATTGACTGTTCAAAGTATTACAATACTTGTAATTATAGGCGAGTTTCACGGGGGTTCTGTCGATGTCAGAGGGGCGCACATTTGTAAATAAACAATTGTGCAACCATCTTATCATATCTGATCTACTAGACCGCCGCCAGGCACAGAGGTATGTTTCGTGATGGCAACAACCAGTCAGATTGCTCAATTACAAGACATATGTAACTCGAGTCTATAGCATGACATGTCCATTTATATGTCATGGAAAAGTAAACATGAGCATGATCAATTTCGAGGAGAGGTCAAAAAGCAAGACACTCACTCACTGACTGGAGCAGGGATCGTCCCATCCTGGCCATGTCCTTCGCCTTGCCTTGTCTTGAATGAATGGTCACGATCCGTTCATCCCGCTAGTTTCTGGTAGGTATTGCATGTAATTATTATCCCTAGCATTGCTCGTCTATTTCCGTGTGTTTGTGCTTCTCTTTTTCTCGGCTGTCTCCCTTTCGTCTCTCTTTTCTCCTTGACTCATTCGTTACTCCTGATATCATCCGTGAAAGCCTACCTATGTCGTGACCTAACGGGCGGTGATTGTTATCTCGTCTATACCCGCCGTGAACAACTCAATTGGATACTCCTTGTCTCCTGCAGAAAAGAAAGACATCCCCCGCTTCGAATCGTCAAGCCACTTCATCTATCCAACACTCACTCAACCCCACCGCCTCGTGTCTCTCACCATCGAAACTGTTTGTTTACTTTTGGATGTGGTCACCTCGACATTGAGATTGGACCCCAAATTAGCCACAAACCACTAGCGTTTTAGTGATCACCGCACTGAAGCATTGGCACTACAGGGCGTCGCCCACTGAAGTCCCTTTAACCTTTCCCGTTGCCGCCTCTACGCACAGCCAATGAGAGCTCACCGCTCCGTCTCGCTACCACTCATCTCAGCCTGAGCCAGCAAGTAGAGGCTCTCCCGACAACCCAACTCGTGGGCAGAATGCGCACTCTAAACACCATCAACTCGTCATCTTCTCGTCCTACATCTCCTGGCCTTTCAGTCTCTCAGCCTCATATCCGCCGCTCCGCTTCCTCCGCCGGAAACAACAAATTAGTCACCTCTTCTAAACCTCTCCCAAAGACCCGATCCAAGACCCCTATTCCGGGTCAGGCACAAGTCCAGACTAAGGCTCAGGCTCGTCCCCGATTCTCTTCTGCTGGCACCACCATATCCTCCAGCGCTCGCACAACGCCATCCCTTGGCTTTCACGACACAAAACAACAACATGTTCTTTCAGTAACCGCTACAATTCCCTCGACCCGTTCTACCTCCTCGAGTTCCGCTCCTCCTACCTTAAAAATGGCCCCAAGCCCAAGCGACACAAGGCACAAGCCCCCGCAACTCAGTGCTGCTGCAGCAAAAACAGTCGGACGAACGCCTCTGACGCCCAAGATTGCCTCGACAGCAAAAGGCCCTTTATTAGGCGCACCTCCTTTAGTTCGACGATCAACTCAAGGATTGAGCTCAGGCACGACTGGGCGCGACGATGCTGTGACCCCCCGTTCTGGCAGTCGACAAGGCCGCAACAATAGCAATAGTTCGACGCCCAATGGAACACCAAATTTAGATCGAGATGGATGGGATCCTCGAGCGTCTTTAGGCTCCTCAGGAAGGCAATCACTGTCACGAGCTGAGTCTCCTGCTGACCCGGACGCCAAATTCTTTCGTGCTAGCGATGTACCGACTTCAACACAAGCAGCTGGTCGTCCCTCGTTAGGCTCACAAAAGCCTGCATCCTACTTCCATGCCAGTAAAGCCAATGCTGAATACAAAAAGCCGACCAGCCCTCCCGTCTCTGCACCATTTACACAGGCACTCAGTACCGCACCCGAAGTTTCATCATCAAAGTTCTTTTATGCCAATGGCGCGGACCTCGAGCTTCAGCCCTCTTCAGCGAATTCATCCACGACAAGGCTCCAGTCTAAACGCCCAAGCACCAGCAGTTCATCAAACGAACAATCATATCACGCACTACCTCCAAGGCCACATTCTCCTATCAAGATTGCTCAACCTACACCTTCTATACTTAAAAATACTGGTGCGCCTGGTCTCGGGAACAGACCGCAAGTAGCGTCACCGCCTCAGATAGCTTCTCCACTAGCACCCCCAGCGTCTATTACCTCTTCCAAGAGACGAGTTAGCATCGATGCAGCCCCAAAAAAGCAGAGAGGACATGCAAGAGCTGGTAGTGTTCCCAATTTTGATCACTCTCACTCACCTAGGTTGCCCATGTCACCGGCCCGACGACCTTTTGAATATGGCTCACCCCCTTCAAGCCCTGGCTCAGCTCAGCCAGCTTTGACAATGGCTTCGATTCTTCAAGTTGCCGAAGATCTCGACGATGAGGAGGAAGAGGAAGAAGGAGAAACGAAGAAAGAAGACGGATCCCAGCCCGACTTGCAGAGTCCTACCAAGTCCAGCCATGAGCCTGTGAACGAATTAGTCGCCAATGCCCGAAGAGAACGAAAGGTGCAGGATCTGGAAATCACCAACGCCTCCCTTGAAGCCATCAATCGGACACTGGAAAGGCAACTACGGAAACAGCAGGCTGAGATACGCAGGTATCGACGACTTTCGAGATCAGGCCGTCTCTCTGCTGTTGCTTCAGCGGCTTCTAGCCGAGTGACCTCTGCAGCACTCACAGATGCACCAATTAGTCTTTCAGACCTCAGCGAGGAGGACAACTCGGAAGCTCCCTCAGACGAGGAACACGACTCACTTGACGAATCAGATTTGTCAATGACTGACTCAGTCTCGGCCTCTGACCCCCTTGATCCCACTGACGAGAAAGCGATCGAAAAGGCCATGTCCCGGCGGAAGCGAGATGAAGATCGTCTGCAGCTCGATTTGACCAAGCACCGGGAGCTGCTGGTCGATAGTCAGAAGATCAACCAAAGTATCAAGCGATGCCTGAACTGGACTGAGGTTCTTATCAAAGAGGGCCAAAAGGCACTCGAGTACAAGGTCCGTGTCACCGATGTTGAATTTGGCGGCCATATACTTGCTCCTGCGATCGGGGACGAAGATGAAGATGAAGACGATACGTTGGCTAGCGTTGACGATCTCGGAACTGATCCTGGAAGTGCGGCACTCGAGGCTCCTCCGCCTTGGGAGAAGGGCTCCCAGGATCGTGATAGTGGCATCGAATTGCAACCAGACAGCAACTAATCTCAGTCATCGCAAGATGACACATTTCCTCAATACTCGACACATCTCAAAGGCGACCAGGACGTCGTAACATATACAACTCATCATACCAAAATTTTGTTCTCCTTCTTTTCGTCTTTACACACCAGGCAAGCCTCAGGGCATCACAACAAAATACCATCATCAGATCTACGAAGTCAATGGAAATAGCATGAATGCATACAAGGCGTTGGGCAAGCAAGCGATCATCTTTACGTCCCTTTTGTTTCTTTCGACAGCGTTTTGCTTCCCAGCGGCTACGATGCACCATCGATTCCACCTCTCAAACGATCTTCTCTCTCCCAAAAGGAGCACCACCACAAATACTCAGCCTGGACAATCGTTACATATACATACGCCCTTCGGAGATTTGGGCCTTTTCGGTTTTCATTTGTCGCCAAGATTTGTGCTTTTTCTTTTTCGTTTGCTTTTGGATACATACTATGTACAACAGATACCCCGGAAGAAGTTTCCACGCCAACCTGGCGAGTCAACAAGATGGAATCATTGGAGGAAATTGCAGAAAAGAGAATCTGGCCGGGGAATTGCCCCTCAAGTTTCCCGTGGTACGGTTACCTCGAGTTTCAACGACGGATGCGATAGGGAAAATTAGATAGTTATCAAAAATAGGAAATGGATATAGGATGTCAGGAGATAAAACTCCAATCTTCAACTCAGCTTCATGATCTTTGCCTCTATTGTCTGATCAATGTATATGCGCACTTGGATGTCCAAAGTAACGTTATGAGAAGTACCAAACAAACGGCCGTCAAAATTCATATAAAGGGGGGAATAGTGTCATGAAAATTATATCTAAATCAATGCCAGTCATCCTCGATCTATAACATCCACCAGTTCAGCATGCAAGCCATCAAGCCCAGTCCATCAAGGTGATATCTGCCATCATTTTCAGGATCCTCAAACAAGCAGGTCTTTTTCAACCTTTCTGTGTAGTCTTTTCTCTACCCTCTGCCAACCCCCCAGGAAACATAGTCCCTACTCAGGGTGTCGTAGCGTGCTCCTTGTCTTTGGGTTCCTTGTCCTTGCTGTGGAAAGACTTGCGGTCCTTCTTCTTCTTGTGGTCTTCCTCCTTGTCCTTCTTCATTGCAGCCTCAGCGACGAGCTGTTCGAAGACGAGATAGTCGCCCTCCTCTTCAGGAGATCGCTCAGCCTAGTTAAGGTTAGTGTGATTCCGGCAAAAGAAGACTTGAAACATACCCGAATAAAGACATCACCAATCAGAACAAGAGCTTGTGCGCGCTCGAGTCGCTTGTTGAGGTGGACCTTCTTGTCGTTCAGAATGCTGTCGCAGACTTCGCGCAGAACGCTCTGAATCTCAAACTTGCTTCCCCTCCATGCAGCGGTGAGAATCTTGCCAGTCACACGTCTCTCGTACTCAGCACGCTTCTCATCAGTCCAGTCCTCGCCACCCTTCTCCTCCATCTTAGCCATATCCTCCATGGTCTGTTGAGCGTCAATAGCGCTGCTGATGGTGTTCCATGTCTCCTTGACGAGCGTGCCCTTGTCACGGAGTCTGCTGAAGAAACCACCGATACCAAAGAACTTTTGGCTGCGGAGTAAGCTTGAGGCCTTGGAGACATAGGTTTGACCGATAGCGTGCAGGATATCAATTCCAAAAGACTCCATCTTCAGGTTCTCAACCTCGAGACGCATCTTCTCCTGGAATGCCTTGGTCACGTCAGGGCCCTTGTCTGTCTCTGTCCACACGCTAAGTCTGTCGAGGAGCTTCCGAGAGAGTGTGTCGACACGCTCCTGGCGAATCTTTGCGCGCTCCTTCTCGTATGCTGCCAGCTGCTCTCGCTGCTCCTTAGTCAGGCCACCCTTCTTCTTCTCCTTGTGCTTGAGCTCCTCTTCTGTTAATTCACCCTTGTTCGCTTCTGCATCGAGAAGATCCTCGTGAGACTTGTCCATCAGTGCGGGCCGAAGAGGGATCTGGGTTCGGCTACGTGAGCTCGATGAGGGAGCAGGTGATGTGGCATCGGTTCGCTGAGGGACATCGGCGGAAAGGCCAGCGGCGGGCGCGGCAGGTGAAGCGGGTTTGGTCTCCTTGTCATCGTGGACAGAAGCGGCAGTATAAGGCGGCGGTGGTGGCCCTGCTTGGTGCTCTGCAGCGGCAGCGGCCTTTTCCTCTGCCTTCTGCTCTTGCTCCTTGAGGCTCTCCTTCTTGGCATCTTCAGTTCCAGGGAAATCCTCCTCGGCTTGCGCGGCGGCAGCGGCTTCAGCAGCGGCGGCGGCAGCTTCTTCCTCCTCCTGCATCGTGATGTCCATGGTGGCCGTGAGATCCTTCATAAGGCTAATCTCGCCGATCCAGTCCACGAAGGCCTCGCCTCCAAAGATGGAGCTGAAGAATTCAGCTGGGTCGGCGAAGCCCTCCTGCGGTCTCGCAGAGTCCTTTCCAAACTTATCGTAGGCTGCGCGTAGATCAGAATCGGACAGAACTTGATAGGCTTCACCGATGGCCTGGAACTTTTCGTGGGCGGTAGGGTCATTAGGATTCTTATCTGCATGTGACAGAAGTTTAGTTCTCCGAAATGCTACGAAGCGATAGAAGCGAGGAATGAGAGCGAACCTGGGTGGTGGACAATAGCCATCTTGCGATAAGCCTTCTTGATCTCCAGCTCAGTGGCCGTGGGCTGGACACCCAGCGTGTCGTAATAGGCGGTATCGACGACCATGATGGAGGATGGTTATGGGTACTTTCTGCTTGGTGTTTCCAGGTTCCAGGTACGCAATATAGGGTACAGGTGGTGGGTAGAAAATATGAATGGTTGAGGTTAGTGTAGTATAGTAGATATCGACTACTAAGAGAGAGTATGGGAGGAAGAAAAAAATGGCCGAAAGCAAGAAAATGGAAATGTTGATGATGGCGTCGGATTGCCTAAATGAACTAAGTTAAGGTGCCTGCCAGTCCACCCTAAGCTTGGCTAGATTACCTTGGCGGAAAATTCCTGGCATTGCCTCCAATTCAATGGAAGATTAGTTAACGTGACATATTCTACAGCGCCTCTATATTTACGCAAGCTCCCGTCCATGCCGTGCCCTGCCGTGCCCTGCCACTGCGTGAGGTAAGAAACTTTCCTTTCAGGCTTCGTACCCAAGCACTAACAGCTCGAGTCCAGCACCAGTCTTTTCTTGCCCAGAGAGAGGGGTCTCATACCTAAGGTAGAGACTCGAGAGAGTGGAGGTGGAGGTAGATTGACCAGAGAGCCTACGTAATGGTGGGGCTATGCACATGAAAAACAGCTGTATCGAGGCTGTGAGAAAACGCAGAGGTTACCAGGCTGCTTAAGAGACCTTAAGAGAGTACTGTGATAACTATCGACTGCTAAAAACTCTATAATCGAGTTCTATGACTATTATTATAAACCGTTCCTAGCGCCCTTCCCCTTCTATTCATTTACGAACGCTTACCACTGCTTGCTTCTCTTGTAACAGTTCCGAAGTGCCACTTCAAATGCCAGAGATTTCCGTACCCCCAAACCTTCAGAGCATACTGCAGCTTGGTCATATCCAGCAGAAGAATGATTTTTTGTGGGAGTGGAAACCGAGAGAGAATGCCCAGCTTGATTCGGTCTCCAGTCGTTTCCAGCCTGGACTCTTCCCATCATACAGGTCTCGATGTCGCGCAACAGCTGTTAAGTGCAAAATAAATATGAGACTTTAGAAGAACTCAGTAAAGACTCCCCTAAACTTAGACTAAATTGTCTAAGCCTTTTCATCACTTAGGATAAAGGTCTCAAGTTTTCTTGCCTCCCCCTACTTAGGTATCTACCGACTTCGCCCACGCTGGTTTCATGATTCACATGGACTGCGGTAAGGTTCAGGTTTTAAAAGAGGCTTCAGCCCCCAGGCTATAAAGGTAAAGGATACCAATAAACATATACAGGCAATATACTTGTCACCCTTATAATTACCTAAGATCTTGCTTTTAGCTGAAAAGCTAGATGTTCTGATGACTGACTCTAAAGGTATATAAATAAGTAGCTGCCTACTGCTTATCTGTAAGGATGATTAGGTCAGAGCACATGAAACATATCCAAGGTAAGCTGCCCGTTGGAAGCAAGTCTGTCAACTCAAGATAACACTCTCGAGATGACTTCAGCCGTACGACAGGATTCATATGGACTTAAGGTCGTTGTGTCCAGTTTCTCACTCATGTTTCCTGTGGGGTATTGAAAGCTTCAAAAGCTTCTAATACCACGCACTTGCGTGTACATTGTTTTCAGAATACAGTATGAGCGCAATCCAGATCTGGAACTTCCAAGAGTTATCAACTTCAAGACCAAGCCTCGAAACTTTCTCATAGTTTTTCTTGAGTTCGAGATTTCATGACAGGACACAATTTCCGTGCTGTCCATTGATGATCGATGTAGGTTTACAGGCAGCCAGGGTATTCGGAGGACAAGAGGGGTTGCCACGACTTGCTGAGCTTGTAACAATATCAACCTAGTTTGAGGCTTCTTGGACATGCCATGTGCCATCTTTATCAAGTAAGTAGCTCAGACCAGCGAGCGCGGCATGTCGTTGCAAACCGGGTGATGTAAGGTTCAGCTGACGGCGCCTCAGACCTGGTAACTATATCAGATTAGGATACTTATAGAGGGTAGACCGTCAAGGCTAAGGATTTTCCTCCACTGTGAGTACAGTATCGCACACTCATCCAAGACTGCTGTCACTCCTAGCGGCGTTGGATAAATCCGGCTGGGCGGTCAGGAGGCCCGGATCGTCTACATGCATAAGGGTCCAAGGTTTGACCGAGCCGTTGGTGATCACAGATCTAGAACACATTGGACTTGGTGACTTGAGGCAAGAGAGTAAAGACCAGCAATTATGTGATCTGTAAACAGCTTGTGAGGGTCGCCGAAAACAGAGACTCTGCGCGATAATAAGGCCAGAATCTTGTGTAATACTGGATAACTACATCCACAGATTGAGAGAAATAATCAGAGGTCAAGTGTACCCCAGAAGTGTTGTTTCACTATCTCGAACATTGTCTGGGCTAAACCTGGGGTAAGGCCAGCTCGCTTGAATGTTTCGTCTCATCATTCGGCCTGAACAGTGAACACACACCACTACGGCGTCCGGACCGGCATTTAAATTGGTGTTGTAGCCGGAGTTCCGGCTGATTGACAGGCTGCGAGATCCGATCAACTGTAACCAACCTCCTCCGGATGCTACCCAGTTGTTGCATAAGCGCGCAGATCAATCAGTGACGGTGCTGTAGCTGGAGGCCTGAAATTGGATACATGACTTGCAGTGTGACAAGAGTCTAATCAATCACATTCAGGAACCAAGCAACTAGCCAACCAGTGATCGAATCCGAATACGACAGTTAATGCATGTAACGCGGCGCTTATGCCCCTATCGGTCGGCAGCACCCACCCTACCAGATGAGAAATTGAGCTCTGTGCATAATTTGTGGATTTATCCGGAGCGGAGGTCAACCAGTCTTATTTTGCTTCTCCCATCTGTCCTCTCTCTCGCCTTTCCTCTCTCCAAGCATCTCGTGGTGAAAATATACATCAAAGACGTTTCCGGGACCTGGTTGCAGCTTAATTGATATATAACATTTGCTCCCTCCCGTTTCCCTGACCTTGTACGTCTGTATCAAGACGTGCACTGCTCAGTTCAAGCTCTCGCGCGCTTCACTTTCTACTCCTACCTTCTCCTTCCCCTTCACGCTACCACCGCCAAGATGGGTTACCTCTACTACCTCTTCCACCCTTACCAGCTTCGATCGATCATTCAATGGTAAGCCTATATCCTCTCGGCCCTCGTACTAAACGAACATGTCTAACAATGCTCCAGGAAGGTCTGGCATGATCCCGTCCACCAGCGCGATCCTAGCACAGAGTCCCCAGAGCTAAAAGAATGCTTTCGTTACCTCGACATGACAAGTCGCAGTTTTGCGGCTGTCATTCAAGAGCTTAACCACGAACTCCTCGTCCCCATCACTCTCTTCTACCTCTGCCTCCGTGGCCTAGACACCATCGAGGATGACATGACCATCCCCCTGGATAAGAAGGTTCCCCTCCTTCGAAACTTCCACATCACCATGGAAGAAGATGGTTGGCAATTCCATGAGAGTCAGGAGAAGGACAAGGAGCTGCTGGAGCACTTCGACGTGGTCGTTGCAGAGCTCAAGAAGATCAAGGCCCCCTACTACCAGATCATCAAGGACATGACTCGCAAGATGGGCAATGGCATGGCCGACTATGCCCAGAACGAGGAGATGATCAAGAACGGTGTGCAGACTATTGAGGAGTACGAGCTGTACTGCCATTACGTTGCTGGTCTCGTTGGCGAAGGCCTAACACGTCTGTTTGTTGAGTCCGAGTTGGCTAACCCTAAGCTCGCTGAGCGTCCTTCTCTTACCGAGTCAATGGGCCAGTTCCTCCAGAAGACCAACATCATTCGAGATATCCATGAAGATTGGCAAGATGGCCGAAGATGGTATCCCAAGGAGATCTGGAGCCAGCACGTGGACAAGTGGGAGGACATGTTCGACCCCAGTCAGCAAACAAAGGCCCTAGAGTGTGTCTCAGCGATGGTTCTCGATGCGCTGAAGCACAGTGAGGAGTGCCTGTTCTACATGGCGGGCATCAAGGACCAGAGTGTCTTCAACTTTGTTGCCATTCCTCAAGGCATGGCCATTGCGACATTGGAGCTTGTCTTCCGCAACCCTGATGTCCTCAAGAGGAACGTCAAGATCACAAAGGGCGATGCCTGCAAGATCATGTTCGAGTGCACACAAAACCTCTACACAGTATGTGAGGTCTTCAAGCGATATGCTCGACAAATCGCCAAGAAGAACGACCCTCGTGACCCTAACTTCCTTGCCATCAGTGCTCAATGTGCAAAGGTATGTCTTTCTCTTTTTAACATCTCTGATTTCGGTTCGCTAATGAATTCCAGATTGAGCAATTCATCGAGACTCTCTTCCCCAAGCAGGACCCCAAGAAGCTCGCTGTGACTCAGACCCAAGTCCAAAACAAGGTGCCAACTATGGACGGAGGCGAGACTCTTGTTCTCTTCGGTGTTGTCATTGCAGCTCTGGTCTGCATTTCTGGTCTTATGGTACGCCAGCCCCATACTCTCAAGGCCGTACTCAACTAACATCCAATCCACAGATTGGTACCGCTTGGATCTTTGGAGCCAGATTCGATACTATCTTCAGGGAAGCCAGTGTCTTCCTACCAGGTGGCGAGAAGGCTACCCCCATGATTACGGGTCACGAAGAATTGTAATATTATGCGCGCCGATTTGTTTTGCTTTGTTCACGGCACGAACCTTTTTAACGATATCCTAACGTACATACCACATTTAGCAATGGTCCTCATATGACAGGACCTGCTCGGCGGCATATTGCTGGGCTTTATACTCTTGTTAATACTACCTGCAGCGGCGCGATACAGCGCGCGTTGCAGTTCAAGTTTCGTCCCCCGTTCACCCACTGGTGATGTCTCTGATCTTGATACCCAACTACAACTCCTGCACGGATGTCAAATTGCAATCGAGTCCTTCCATGACTATGATTGTGCCGAAGAAGTGCGAAAATTAAACATCTCTTGCTCTTGGTTTCCGCCTCGCGGCGACGTCACGCCACAAGTCTATCTCGACATGTTTGAGGATGACAGACTGGTGGCGGCGGGCAAACATTTCATTCAACCTTGTA